AGGCTCTCCACTGAAGCGAAGCTTGTGCCCCTAACATGTGGGGCCGACCGGCCCTACTTGCAGGACAGCCAGCCTGTGGGGCCCCTATGTCAGCCTCCCGTTGCTATGTTGGTTCTCCACAGCCTTAAGGATTACATCTCCACCGTTTATTCAAGTCAATTTGATCCGAGAGCTCATGATTGATGCTTCAACCTATATATACTTGCCTACACCCCCCCTCCATGGCATGCCAAGTTAGATCCTAAGAGCTAAAAAGCCAGAAACCCTAATCCATATTTCCACCAGCATCAGAGCTAGCAATCAAGAGAAGATTAGTCCTCAATAGGATCTAGTCTTATATTAGAGATAGAGAGATAGAGTGTGAGGGAAGAGTTTCAGAGGAGTCCCGGCCTGTCGGTGCTCTCTCTATGGCTTGTACCCTGGCGGAATCAAGTTCTTGAGCTTGCTTCTGAGATTTCATTGGTAATCGACTTTTAATTCAAGTAAGCATCTTGTTCATATTGTTCTTCAGGTTTTGACTCTCTTTTGAGTACTTTAATCCTTGTAGCTCCTAGGTTAAAGTAGTATTCATAGTGTAAGTGTGGTGCTTAGACTTAGTTACTCATGGATGTACCCTACTTTTGGATTGGTGGTAGCTCACAAGGGTGACTCTTATAGCCTCATTGAATTATTTATAGTCCACCTCCCGTTAGTAGGCCTAGTAGGACCTTGTTGCTTTAGGAAACATACTTTGCTTATGTTTTCTCTAATAATAACCCTAGAATTGAATAATAGAAGATAAAGCTTACTAAAGTTAGAACTAGAAGACCTTATCAATCTCCTCTACGCTCCTATTATCTAGCCTTGATTGTGAAGTTGGGTTAAGTTAGATTTGGTTATTCTCACACACGTTTTCTCGAGTTCGATATAAAACTGGGTACTCCCGGTGAAGTGCTACATCAGTATAATATCCGTGCGCTTATGGATTATTCTGTGTGCATTAATTTATACCAATAGGCACCCCATGTTGTCGAAGAAGGTGATTGCCGCCATCAGTGGAGTGCCCCTCTTCCATGGCGGGTGAGCAAGATACTTGATGGCAAGATGTAGGCTTGTGCCATCGATGTTGGGAGGGTATGAAACCCTACTGCTAGGTGGTTGAGGTTGTGGACATGTTCGCCGCTGATGAGTGCATCGATGAGGACTAGAAGTAGTGGCGAAGCGGCTGATTTGTAGAGGCACCTATCAAAGAAGATGTAGTCGGTGTTGATCATCTTGGCTCAAGCCATCGTCTTGTTGATGACGTTGGTGGCAATGTCATGAAGTTTCACCTCTTGTAAAGTTGCCTAGCGCAGCGCTGTGAAGACTGGTACGCTCATGTCGAAGTTGTCAAGGCAAGGGGATTCATGAGGTTGCGTTGCCCAGCTGAGGTGGCAGTGTGCTGGCGCATGTGGTGGTGGAGAGGACCATGGCCATTGCGTGGTTGGTCCAAGTGTTGTCGTCGATGGAGTTAGGGAAGGGAGTTGCGGCGTTGCTGCCGCCCATGCGACCAGCTTGGTTATCGCTGCCCGTGCGGCTGATGCCGGGTTCGTTGTCCATGCGGCTGCCGCTGGTGTTACCGCCCATGTGGCCAGCTCTGTTGTTGTCGCCCGAGTAGTCAGCATGGGGCCCAACACCCATGGGGCTAGTGTCGGCGCTAGTGATGTAAGTGCCGATGTTGATGCTGGTGCTGCTGGTAAAGCGAGGTGATGCGGGGGCGCTTGGTGGTACAGCGTGCTAGTGAAGGTGACCGTCCTATTGTCCTACTGGAATTGCATTTACAAATATGTGAAATCCTAGTGGGCATTGCTGACTTCTATCATCCATGGAGCTCCCAAGATGACATTGATGTCATCACTGATGGGGAGGAGGAAGGCATCGATCTGGAATGTCTCACAGTTGATGCGTAGCGGGATGGTGAAGCAGGCTCCCTAGTTGGCAAGTTCCATGTCGCTCCCAATGAGCACGGTGGTGTTGATGCGACACTCGGTGAGGCCATTGATGTGGGTGATGCTAGAGTCAATGTCGTTGTGGGTGGCGTCGGTGTCGATGAGGATCCAAACTCCTTGGTCGAGGATGGCGCCTGCCAAGAGCATGGTATGTCCTCCTCACACCTCTGAGTTCAAGGCGCCTGTGAGCATCAATAGGCAAGGCTCAATGTTAGTGTAGTCATCGTCATCGTTGTCACTGTTGATGATGATCGGTGATGAGGACAATGGTGTTGTAGTAGTGGGTGTTGGCGGTGCTCCTCTGTGGCTCCATATATGGGGAAGTTGTGGTGAACATCTTGCTTGCCATGACATGCACAAGATCAGGAGGCATGGTGGTGGTCGGGGCCTCTTGCTCTTCCTCTTGAGGAATGCATGACCGACGTCCTCCATGATGCGCTTGGTCTCCTCCTCAAGCTCCTCGGTTGTGGCCTCACGTGCCTTAGGACAACGTTGGCGTTCAATGTCGGTGAGGTGGAGGTCGAGCTTGATGAGCTTCATGTTGAGCTCATCGAAGCGGTTGCTCATGTTGATGGAGAAGATATCCATCATCTTCTTCATCCCGGCGATCACGATGGTGGTGGAGGTGGCCATAGGATAGATCTAGTCTCCGGATACCAGGTGTCACGACTCCTGCTCTGGGGTGGCTGGTTGGGGGAAGCGCGGCTAGGTCCGATGGGTAGCATGGGGGTGTGGCGGTGGCTGGCGGCGGCGTGGGATGCAGGGCATAGGGATGAGGGGTAGCGACACTGAGAGAGAGAGAGAGAGAGATTTGTTTAAAGAACAAGACTATATTTTCTTCTTGAGTTGGAATAGTTATAATGCCCCTATATTTATAGTCCCTAACGGACTTGCATACCAAGCAATCTAGCAAGGAGTCCTTATAGGTTTGGATTCTCCTTTCCTAAAACAAAGTCTCTTTTTCTAACAAAATCTACGTTCTTTTTTCTAAATAAAATCTCTATCTATTTTTTCTAAATCATCTAGAATCCGGGATGATGTGGATGTAGGTCCGGTGATTGTGGGATCATTGAGCGACTTTGGTGCTTGTTGTTGGTTCCGATCAAGTGATTGTAAGGGGCTCTTGTGCTGGTCACCGCGGGAGATTGTGAAGAGCAATTCTAGTGAAATCGTGGCTAGTTGGAGTGTCGTTCTAGTCTGGTTCTTGCAGCGCCTGAGTGGTGGGCTTGGTGTGTGATGCCAATTAGCATGCGAACCACCTAGCTTGGACTCACCACAATGAGGACGTAGGTCGCCGGCAAGCTACCGAATTGTCGGGGATATATCTTTGTGTTCGTCACTCTTGCTCCGCATGGTTTGCTCACTATTACCTTGCAGTTTTATTCATATCCTTGTCTTGTGTGGTAGTTGCTTGTGTAGCTTAGTGGTATTTAGAGCTAGTAGAAGTTACAACTAGTTGTAGCTTCTTGTTATTAGCTCTGGCTTGTTGTAGCTAGTAATAGAAGTTAGTAGCTTGCTTGTTTGAGTGAAATCAACCTAGAGACCACGAAACTAGAATAGTGTAGGAGGCTTGCTTGTGGTGAAATAGAGCTAGAGCAAGTAGGTGCATTAGCGCCATCTTTTATACTAATCAACCTTTGCCCTAGCAGTTTGTGAGTTTGTAGGATACTTTTTATAGGCTATTCAGCCTACCTCTAACCATCTAAATCCTATCAATATCGCATCCCGGCCTTCGATGGTGCTGCGCGTGCTCTGAGGATGGACGATGCCCACCCGTTGTCCCAAACACGGCTAATGAAGCCCCACCACTGCCTTCCACGCGGTCGCACGGAGCTCCGACGAACCGCTCGGGCGGCGGCAAGGCAGGGGAGGGGAGGGATGTGGGTTGCGGTGGTAGGGTTCTGGCTTTCACCCGAGTCACCTTGAGGAGGAGCGACGCGGGGGCGAGGAATGAATAGTGTAGTTTTACAATATTTCTACAGGAACACATGAGAGAGACTAAAACCAGCAGCAGCAGCTGCTATGGAAAAACGTCAGCCGAACAGGCCCTTAGTGTATATCTATAACTCTTATAATCCTAAACCTCACTAGATATTTATCTCAACATGCAAACTATCCACCTCAGCAAAGCACAACTACATACAATTAAAATCCACTAGCGCATCCAATTGTAATATCCACATCAATAAGACACAAGCATTTTGTTGTCCACGTCAGCATGCCACATAATCTATTAATCTGTAATTCCCGCAACAACGCGCGGGATATGCTTCTAGTTCTTAAAATATAAAAGGGCTATATGTGAATGTAACAATCTTGTTCACCTCTTGGTGTACATTTCTCATGACATTACTGTAAACTTGTAATCGAGTGAGATGCGAATCTTCCTTTGCACAGCACCGTGTAACAACACCTCTGCAATGAACTGAACTAGATAGATTTGACCATGTGCCAAATCATTTCGTGAGCTAAGGATCAAAAAATAAATGCAACAAAACAACTCGAGATATGAATGGAAAAATTGGACAGTACCGTGACCAAGTAAAAGTTTTCCATGCTCTTTCTCCAAATAATTAATTTTGAAACTAAAGTGCATCATGCTACTTAGCTGATTTGAAGGAAATTGTTATTAGCAGCAAGAATTCACGAAACAGAACAGAATCATGAGACAGTATGTATGTCTTACGACAAAACCCGACCAAATATATTGATACCATTACTACCAAGGAGCGAGCAAAGTGTACGCAAGACACCAGACGGTACAGAGACCACACACAGACGGACACCGAGACACATCACCCATGAACAGCAAAAGGGCACACCAGCAACTGAGCAAAACTTGAGGAGTATACAATACTCTTCCAAAGGAGCAGAGAGAGCCCACCCTCTTATTTCCCTTGGAACTGCCTCCCATGCTATCTATTCTTGTTACTTCCATGAATTCACCGGGCGTTCTGGAGGACCGACTTGCCTCAGCAACTGTGTCATCAGCAGGCAGTAAATAGTGGGTAAGAACAGATGATCGATCGTTATCTATGTAGAAACAGGGCCTTTAATTTGGTGTTTGTGTTTACATGAAAATATGTCTCCAGCTTCTGCTTCAGAGTGGCATGCTCCCTCTTCATCTTCTGGAGTGACTGGCGGCATCTGAGTGAGCCATGGAATGAGATGCAGCTGCTCAAGCAAAGAATGAGATGCAGGTATAGAGGAAGAAGAGTCGTCAAGTGTACGGTACCCTTCCAGATTCCTGTCGTTGCAGTGGGCCTTAAACATGGAGCACTCATTCTTCATCCTCAGTGCACCAATGCTGCCAAAAATGAGGCTACCTTTAGTAAACTTGTAATTAAGTACTATCTGTCTTACTAATCAATTTTTGTATCGGTGAGCTGAGAACTCTAAAAGCCAGTCCAGAATAGGTAATCAGAAGATTCTGCATTGCCGAGTTATATATGCAAAGCAATTGCGTGCCCTATATATATGTTTCTGGGCATATTCATCCCCTCTGTACCTTGATCCACTGCCTTTGAACTGGTGCACCAGCGAATCCAACTGGTAGAAATCCTGTGGGTACTTCTCACTGCATCACAAGAAATTCAAAGTGAATACACTATTCTGTATGCTTTCTACTACTTGTTAATTGATATCATGTCTGAAGTCATGTGTATAATTTGTACTAGAAAACCAAAGTATTCTTTTATAATGAGTTAAGACATATATTACTTACAGCGCTTGCTCTATGTTCGTCAGCAGTCTTGATGAATCCTTTAAGAACAAAGCCACAACTTCCTCAACAAAATTGGGGCTTGAATCATCCTGCAGCTCTTCCAGCTGATTAAACTGCTCATCCAGGTATCCCTGCAGGAAAGCAAGGGGTAGATATATTGAAAAGCAAAATACAGAAGAATGAACTCTGTGGCAAAAAGCAATTTCTCTCTTGAGAGCGACCTCTTTCAATTGTTTGAGACATCAGACATTATGAAGGATCCAATTATCTTCAAATAAATGACGGATATATATGATACATTTGGGCATGAAGACAGGCAAATTTTCGATGACAAGTGCGGTGGCATGTTGGAAATAAAAGAGAGACACATGCAATCAAAGTATACAATAAAAAGAGTATATATATGGTTTTCATGCTTTCTATTTGCTGCGAGTATTGTGTTACATGGTCATGAAAACAGAAGATATATACAAACTTGAACGCAATGTGAGAATATTTTGGAATTTTCCAAAAAAAAATCATATCCCAATCAGTGGAATTGCAGTTACTTGCAATTACAAATCCTTGTTCTAAAATACACCACAAAAGATTGCTTTTTGGTCTGTCCACATAAAGATGAACCAAGTGAGTTCCAGCAAGTGGTTTTAGGTTTCAACCTAGCTAGGCATAAAGGACACTCTAGGATTTGTGTACCAGAAACTAATGCAAGATTAAAATGATCCTAACCTATGATTACTCTGTAAAGTTTGAAAACCCCACCTTTCTGTATATTCTCAAAGGAATATAAGCAGGAAATAAAGTGGCACGCTATTCTGTATGGTCGGCGACATCCTTCCCCACTATCATGATGCATGTATATATACATGATGCAGCAGAATATGTTGTGTAACTTTTAGATGGGAAGATAGGAGCTACTTGAGCATTGGCCTATATATACCAGATTAAAATCTGACACAATGAGCTATGCAGTTATTTACAAATTAAAGCCAATTTTAATGGGAATGAGTCAGTATATACTCTGCCTGACAGAATGAGCTATACTGATTACCCTGTCAAAACTAAGAGCTCCAGACAAGCAAACAAATATTAGTAGGTGGTGACGCAATTAGTCACTACTCTCCCAGGTTTCCAGTGAACTGAGACAAAACCTGATCGAAGAGGCTTTTCTTCATGGAGATGATCTGGCGCCGCAAATTCGTATAGTCCATATTTGGCTAGCTCAGTCAGAGTGCAAGCAAGTGCAGACTTGAGACTCCAGAGGACTTAGATGAGCACACCGAGACATGAAATGAGCAAGGGTGTATATATAGAGGGAAACAGGACAATTTTAAAACATGCAAAATCTTTATTCTACATCGATAATGTCCTCCTGTGAATAAAGCATAACAAAAAGACAGAGAACTTTTCTTTTTTTTCTTGAAACTGTTGGAAGCTAGCTAAGTACAAATGCGGCAAGTTGCACTATGAGTTCTTTACTTGATAAACCTAAAAGAAGATTTCTCTACAACATAAGGTTCGTGCGGCTACGGTGTAAACAGCAAGGAACTCTAAAATATCATGAAACTGCACAACAGAAATGCATAGAACGGTTGTTTACCCTAAAACTTGTTCCTTAAGAAGCTTGCATAAAAACAATTAATCTATTCAGATAGTTGATTATATAATTGATTTTTCAGAGACTAGATAATTAATTTGCAAATATACACAGTTGCACATTTATCTGTAACTTGCACATAGCGAGGGCTCTTTCTTTCTGTGGGTGACAGGGTGAGTGAAAGCTATTCCTCTATTCAGATAGTTGGGATTCAGCTAGTCTCACTATCAGATGATGAAGGCCATCAAAGATTATTAGTGGCTGATGAAGAGGACAGATTCACTAAATCTGGGAATTCTAACTTTTTTAAAAGATATCTTCTACTACAAATTAGTTTCTGGAAGAATTTTAATCTCTTTAAATGACATCAACCGCTGAAATTCCGTGTGAGTATTTAACATAAAGAAAATTTCCTTTTAACTTACAAAATTACATGCAACAGGAGTACTAACTATGGCCCAGCTGCCTCAAGGAAAGATATTGGCAGTTATGTTCCATTCCTTATGATAATGTTGCCAGACTTATGATAGGTAGCTCTTTGTAAATTAATACTAATAATCTTGCCATAAAAATACAGAATGAAAATGCATTTGATTGAACATGCAAATAGAGAGAAAAAATTGTTTAACGCAACATTGTTTTAGCATAGGACAACCATATTCTTTTCAAAGAATAGTTACAGAATTTTTTATATCATAATTCCTAATACAGATGAATTCCTTAAACCATGACAGTTTCGCCTCTTCAGTGAGTACACAAAATATTCCAATAGCCTTTCACGAAAACAACCAAAATATTGCAACTCTGGAAACAGCAGAACAGAAAGAGATACTCGGTACTACAAGAAAAGAGAGTCTAACAAAAAAAATGATTTGAGAATCCTTTTAAGAAGCCAGTATCCAATTAGGAAAAGTCACTTCCTAAAAAGGTGCTGCACCTTTGGTTACATCAATTTTGAGGGAGTTCAAAGATAAACATAGTCTCTAGTGCCTAGCCAGAGCTAAGAAGCTGCACAGTTTAGAGCTTGGTGGTAGAATCTAATTTTCTTTGTAGCTTTGGTTGGGTCGTGTAGTTTGGTCTCAAGTTTTTCGTCTTTATTTTGCTGCTAAAATCACCTCTCATATTTGGTCCCCGTATGAGATGAGTGGGTTGTATGCCTGCATGGGGACCATTTTCTTCTCTAATACAATGAAGCGCAGCTCTCCTGACTTTTTCAAAAAAAAACTTCCTAAAAGGATAGGAAGTTAGGAACAATGGGAACTCAAACATGGCATGTAGCCATTACATTAGAACAAACAAAAATTACACCAAGCTAAATATTGTGCAAAAGTATAAATTCCTAACACATTCACACATTTAAGCTTGAGCTATCCTCTTTGTATATTATAGAAGGGCCCATTATAGAAACCATTAGAGGCACCTAAGATACACCATCAGTAGATCATAAAAGGTGGACACGTCAGCGAGATCTATCATGTGGTGAACCAAAGGAGCTCAAGTATCTGCTGCTTTTCGCCACATCTCACATCTCCTAAAACATTGTCCAAAGAAGACTAACAAATAGGAATGGCTTTGAGGCATAATCATCAAATGGCTGAAGCAAGCATCCAACCAAAAAGGAAGAAGATAAATAGTAGCATCACCATGCTTTCACACTAAAACCAAATGAAGAATTCGACGATAAAGAGGAAGATGCCCATAGTGGGCAGGAAATTCCCACTTTATTCCTTTCTAGTAACTACTACTCCCATGGTTTTTTAGTTGTATTTATATATTTTCATTTTGTTTGGTCCCATCCACTACTTTTGATAAATGCTGAAAAGAGGAATAAATTGTATAATTGGAGCGGTGATAATGACGTAGGTATCTCTGCTGGATAGTGATAAGAGAATATGAACCTGGAACAGTACATTAAAATGACAGATATTGGTTTAAATTGTTACTGTCAGTAAAGTTCTTATCTGGAGGAATCATGACAACAAGATGCATAACAAACACTAGCCACAGAGAACAAATCTAATCACAAAGTGAGAGGTGGCATAGCCAACACATCAATACCTTGACAGTTGCAGGAATTGTTGCACTTCTTTTCTATATGTGCACCTAAGCTTGCCATGCATATTCCCCAAACAACAGTATTAAAAAGGAGAAGCAGATAAGGAGGGACAGCATCCTTTCCATGTAAAGTAAGAGCGCAGGACATGAGTTCATATTTCATATTTTTATTCTGCAAATGCAGAAATTGGATCATCCAACATAGAGTTCCGTTTAAAATAATAACAATACAAGAATTCAAATGAGGAGCATATACATAGAAATAGATAACATTTTAACGATATGATCATGATGAGGAATACTGAAATAAACCTTGCTAGATTTTGGATCCACTACCATGTTCCTCACAGCAGTTCATAATAGCCCATGATTAGAGTAAAGTTGGATGCTTTCACAAGACAGATCCAACCTACTAGATGACATGTTGGGTCATGGATGACAGAGATGCTTAGACATGGTGCTTATGTAAGAAAACCTAATTTCTTTACCACGTCATAAGCGCCAGGTGCATATAAGGCGGATACTGACTTAAACTTGCACTAATAAACTTAAAGTGTGCTAACAAAATGGTTAAGCCTCAGTATAAGTTATTTTTTCACAAAGAATCAACAAGTGCCTAAGGAATCCCACTTGAAAGTTTCCATTGCTTGGAATCTAAATTATAATATAGACAAACCAAAACTTCCATTAATTATACTACTCCCTTCAGTTTTTGTTATGCGTCTAGATATACATTATATCATATTATCGTAACAAAAGCCATGTACATATAGAGTCTGTTTGGTTACCTGGCTTACTTCTAGCCTGGCTAGGAAATAAGCCGGGCTAGCCTAAGACTGCCTCCAATAAGCTAAGATAGGCTTGTTTGGTTGCCTACACTATCTAAACCTGGCTAGCATGTAGTTTGTTTAGTTGGCTGGTTTGACTTGGATAGAGTCGCCTCATCTTTATGCAGGTAACTTCATCCCCTTTGAGACAATTCATCGAACACATGGTGAGCGCCTTTCTTTGAGACAATCCGTCCATATCCAATCACTAGAATCCAACTGATATATAATTAAAATCAGTCCTAAACAGTCCAATCCTAATTATTAGTACATGCATCCAATCTAGACCAATCTAACTTCACCAAAATCCAAATCCCCAACACATCCAATACTAATCTACAGGTGTGCAGCAAAGCACGCATAGCCAACAGAGCCCATGCCAGCGGGACGACCGCCTCCTCCATGCAAGTGGTGTCCGCTCCCCTCCGTCTGCCGGGGAATCGAGCTCGCAAGCACGGTGGAGAAGGAGCAGTGACACCCTCCCGTGGGACCCCCGCCCTGCACGGTGGAGAAGGAGCAGCGACACCCACCACCGAATCGAGCTCGCGAGCACGGCAGCGACACCTGCCCGCGGGACCCCCGTCCTGCCACCCCGGGAGCGCGCCGTCGAAGGGGAGGAGCAGCTTGCCTTGCCTTGCCTCGTCTTGTGCCCTTCCCCTGGTGGAAAGTGGCCTTTCCCAACGCCCGCGGGACCCCGCCCTGCCACCACGGGAGCTTGCCCTCGAAGGGGCCACCTCGCGAGCTCGCCGTCGAGCACCGCGGGAACCTCCGCGTTGGTGGCCGGAGCGTCGTCGTCCTCCTCGGATCGAGCCTCCGTCGTCGAGCCTCGGCTCCCAAACCTCCGCGTTGGCGACCGGGAGGTGACGTCGACGGGAGATAGATGGAGCGCTGGTCAAGACAAGCTCCACAAAATCGGATCCCTATCTCATTTTTCCAGAGGCAAACTAGGGCCACCAAAGTGGCTTAGCTAGGCCCAAATTTTTTATTTTTTAGCCTTTTTTGAAAGTTTTTCACAAATACGTCCCTGGAGGAAAGATTTCAAAATCTGGACCCTTAGCTCGGCGCCATCGTCGCTGGCGCCGAGATCTTGAGCTCAACGCTGACGTGACGCTGATTTGACAGGCAGCTCGACGCCATAAACGCCGGCGCCGAGCTCGGCGCCGTAGACACTGACGCCGAGCTTGGCGCCCTGTACGGCCCCAACCGTAGACACTGGGTGATAAGATAGGTAGGATGCCGGCATGCCGCTGAGGATGGCGTTGGCGTGCATGCTCTGCTCGCAAGCGAACAAAAATGCTAGTAACTCGAAATCATAGTTTCAGCGAGGCGCGACAAAGCACCAGCTTGTCCGGGCTCCCATGTCCGCTTGCTCGCTACGACGTCGCCGCGGCGGCGAGCGGAAATGACGCAAAACACCCTGCACTGACACGGCTGGCCGGAACTCCGGGAGAAGAAAAAAACGGGCCCAGCCGGCCAGCTGATGCTCCGCTCCCAGAGTCCCAGCTCTCGCAGCAAAGAACCAAAGACAGCGACTCGCAATCATTGCATCCCCTTCCCTATCTAATGAATCAAATCGTTGCTCGATTGGATCGGAAGAACATGGCAAAAGAAGCGTGCATGTACACTCTTGCTCCGTGTTGGGATGGATCCAGAGCCCTACCCTACTGCTGCGGCGCTATCTAATTACAGTTACAGGCGCACATCTATCGCTGTGTGTGATTGAGCAGACTAG